CATCAATGATGTGGTCCTCCATCGCTGTCTTACCGAAACCCAAATTTCGCAATTCATACAAAGCGAACCTCTTATGCTCTCTCTCTCTAATTACATAATAATTGTTATATAACTCTTTCAGTGCGGCCAACGATATGGTAATCGCAGGATTCAAAATACCAAAAGACACTCATATAATAATCAATATGTGGGCCAACGATAACGACCCAAATGTATGGGAAAATCCATCGGAATTCAGACCCGAAAGACATCTCAGCGAAGATCACAAGACTTTCATTAGAGCCGAGCAATTGATCCCATTTTCATTAGGTTTGTATTGATTTGAATTGAAATGACAATAAAAATACTGATGACATGTGTTTGTGTGGATTAGGGAAGAGGTCGTGTCCGGGAGAGGGCTTAGCGGTGGTCGAAGTGTTTCTATATCTGAGTTCTTTGCTTCAGAAATACGATATCAAAGCCAATCATAAAACCGATACAAGTCTTGAATACTTGTTTCAGTTCACAATCGCTGCAAAACACGATCCTTACGTTACTATCACTAAAAGACGGAAATAATTACTTTTCAATTTAATTCAATATTTCTATTACTATTTAAATTATGATTTAGTTTAATCTAAACTGTTTTAAGTTTACAAATGTATATAAAAATTGTATTTTTTAATTAATAAAGTAAAAATTGATTAACTGTAACTCTAACATTTTTGTAAAACTGTTTTTAATATTACTTTTAAACAAAAATTAATTGCAATTAATTTTTAAAAATAGCTGTAATTTAAATGAGCAGCAAATGAAATGTTGAATTTTCCAATAATAATTTAAAACAAATATATTTTTCAATTAATCTATGCTATCAATCGGCTGTGCTCACGTCTGTGCTCACAAATAGTTATTTAGTCATATATAATGTACACTACTATGAGTGGTGGGGTTTAATTAAAGTTGTGATTCATATTTATATTAGACTCAAATGATTTACCCTTTTAAACCATTCACCTATATAGAGAGGGCAGTTATTATTAGTTTAATAGTAACCACAATAGTGTATCATAATTCATTATAAATAAATCACTGCCTCTCTTTAATCTATGCTGTATACTAGCATTAATCTAACATAGCTTATGATAACTCTTTAGTGTGATGGTAACTTTTAAATGGTAACTTTTTATCTTAAATTTTATGCATGTTTTGTTGAAAATTTTAAACTTTTACTTTATTTTTTATATATAAAAGAATACCACTGTACATACTGATATATAACATGTGATGTTTAGAAAGTTTTACTGTGCATAATAATAAAACATGTATTATATCAAGTAATCACGTATTGACAGCATATTTAGTGATAAAGATAACGATTGTTTATGTTTAGTATTAAATCAATAACTTTCAATCTCCTAATCAATGTTTTATTAACCAATCAA